GCTTTGTATCAAAGGTGACTTCAGGGTCCTCAGCTTCTGGCCATCACTGCTGTCAATGAGACAACAGAAAACATGAACGTAAATTAGACACATTTATTTGCATTTCTGTCTGTGTTTAAATTAAACAAAGGAGTTCTGCAATAGTGCGCTCCCCAAGAGCCTGATGCCTTCTGAAAGATTAGATATGTACCTGATGTCTTTTTGTTGTTGTTGCCATTTTGTTATTGAGACAGTCTCACTCTGTCACTCAGGCTGGAGTGCAATGGTACAGTCATAGCTCACTGCAGCCTCAATTTCCCAGGTTCAAGTGATCCTCCTGCCTCAGCCTCCCTGGAAGCTAGGACCACAGGCATGTGCCACCACTCCCAGCTGATTTTTAAAAAATTATTATTTGTAGAGATGAGGTTCACTATATTGCCCAGGCTGGTCTCAAACTCCTGGGCTCAAGTGATCCTCCTACCTCAGTCTCGCAAAATGTGGGAATTACAGGTATGCGTCACCACGCCCTCCCTACCCCATGTCTTAATACAGTTCACAACCGGGTAGATAGCAAATAAGATCATCATAGATATATGAAGAGCTTGAGAAAATAAGTAAAAAGACTGCTGTTTAAAAAATTTAGTCTGCTGGCCCTGACGTAATATCTAGTACACTAGACTCTGATCCAATGGTTCAAGTTCAAATTTTCTTAATTTGGTTTGCATATAACATGACATATTGCAAAGTACTGTCATGTCCAGAATTTCCACATAGAATGAACTGCAAGGTGGCAAGCTTATAGGAAGAGAAATGAGAAGATCAAGTGAATTATTTTGAAGCAGGCTTTGCATAACAAACACCAGACCTTTCCCTTAGATTGTGTATTTACGCCAATAGATATTGAGTGTTTGGGAAGGATTGAAGCTCCATCTCCAGCCACGCTAGGACATGGCTACTGAAGGTAGGTACAGGCCTGGGTGGTCTGACAGTCCTTACTTGCTCTGTGATCTTGAGCAAACTTACATAACTTCTTTAGGTGTTAATTTTCTCATCTGAAATATGACTAACCATATCTACCTATTAAGGTTATGATAAGGATATGAGACAATGTAAAGTGCCGGGCACATAGTAGGCATTCAGTAAAAAGTAACTATTATTGATGGTATTAGTCCCGCAAAAGCATTTATGAGCACGAACAGGATAATCACAGAGGAAAGATGAAACTGAAAGAGCAAAACAAAACTAACACCAACAACAAATTACTCAGCCTGTGAAGACTGTCCTTTTGGGAGTCTTAAATGCTGATCATTGCTTGATTTTATGATATTACCCTTCCCTAGGCCCCACAGAGTATAATATGACATGTTTATTAGTTTAAGTGGTTTTGCTTCTTGAGACTTTAGAATTTTGTAACACCCTTTGTGCTGCTGAACGTTTCTCTGGGGAGTTACAAAACCAGGATTGAGATTTCCTTTTAAAATATTAACAAAAAGTAAATAAATTATGTGTCTCTAACACGGGCAGAGCCAAGATAACATCTAGTCAAGGGCTGGCTTCATACCTAGTCTGGCAACAGAATGCTCTTTAACCACCTTGCCCCTTCCCTCTGTCTTGCTTCCCCTCGGCCCTTCCCGCAAATAAGCACTGGAAATTAAAAGCTGCAATTCTAGCCTACAGAAATTACCTTGGTGCATAGATAGGACCTTCCAAAGGGCAGAGAAGAGCATGTGCTAACAATAAGCAAAAAAGAAAAACCAGAGTGAGGACCAGTAGGCAGAGGATTCGAGGAGTAGCTCTGGACACCAGCAGCCAGGGTGAAAACCCAGAAGAGGATCTGGGAGGTGGTGGGACCCGGTCAAAAAGAAACGATTACAGTATATACAACCCAGCTTACCCTCCTGACACCCGGACAGCAATTGGCTTCATTAGTGTCCTAAGGGGAAAAAAAAAAAGTGTCTCCTCCCAAAATCTCGCCAAAAGCATAAGGGCTAACTGCAGAAACTTCAAGGAAAACTCTTACCTGAGACTATGCTAACCACTCTTACAAATCAGGATTTCTTAAAAAACTTGAGTGCTTAGCCTAGATCTGCTATTAATGATCTGGGAGAATTTGAGGACATCACTCTACCTCTTTGACCCCAGTGACTTCATTTGCATTCTTTGGTTAAACAAGTATTTGCATAGCAACTATCAGAGGTCAAGTATTCGGGTACCTCTTGACAGCAAAATGGAGCTCACTGTGTAGTGGAAGTAGACTAAATGCAGACAACTAAATTAAATAATTATTGAGGATGGTGAGTCCAATGAGAGGTGAAGAAAGGCCATTAGGCTGAAGCTACGTGATGACCGGGGGCACTGAAGCTGGCAAGACAGGTCAGCCTGAGGACTGACAGAGGAGGGAGCCCAGGGAGCGTGGGCTGAGGCAAAGCCTAAAAGGCCACATGCTGCAGGGCCGTGGGGGCAAGGAAGGAAGGCCAAAGCATGGGTTTCATTTGAAAAGCAATGGGAAGGCACTGGAAGAATGACAGCAGAGGCAGGGTGCTTGCAGTGAGCCGAGATTGCACCACTGCACTCCAGCCTGGGAGACACAGAAACACTCCGTCTCAAAAAAAAAAAAAAAAAAAAAGTATGGGTATGGTTTATAAATATGTCACTTTCTTAGTCGTTTGAAAATTCTATTATTCATGCCGGGCACTGTGGCTCAAGCCTGTAATCCCAGCACTTTGGGAGGCCGAGGTGGGTGGATCACGAGGTCAAGAGATCGAGACCATCCTGGTCAACATGGTGAAACCCCGTCTCTATTAAAATACAAAACATTAGCTGGGCATGGTGGCGCGTGCCTGTAATCCCAGCTGCTCAGGAGGCTGAGGCAGGAGAATTGCCTGAACCCAGGAGGCGGAGGTTGCGGTGAGCCGAGATCGCGCCATTGCACTCCAGCCTGGGTAACAAGAGCGAAACTCCATCTCAAAAAAAAAAAAAAAGAAAATTCTATTATTCTGACTATCCATGCTAAACACTTACGGGCCAACTAGTCTCTTTTATGTAAGGGAAATTTCTCCAACCTGAATAGTCTTTGGATTAGAAAATCTCTTTCTAGGTACGCTGGGACCTCTCCTCTCGCTTTCTGCATTCACCTGGAACGTTTATTATCTCTCTCCCTTCGTGACCATCCCCATGTCTGCAATTCCTTGGCATCTTCCTTCAAGCCCCACATCCAAGTATACTTCTCATACCTTATTGACAGTTGATGAACTGCGTTCCAACTTGCCTTCAATTCCCTGTCAACCTGGAGTGTCACCTGACTGAAGCTTTTTTCATGGCTTTAGCATGCTAAGCCATGAAAATTCTTCTCCGTGAAATCATTTACTTTCCCATAAAGTTTGCCTGAGAACTGTTTAATAAGCTCCTTGTCAAGGAAGAGAGAAGAAACATTTGTATTGTACCCTGCCTCTCCCACAAAGATGAAGTTGTTGTCTCCAAATTACCGCCTCTGTAGACATCCTAAACCCTTTAGGCTTGAGTGTTTTAGGATATCCAGTGAGAATTCAGGAAACACCACATGGCGGGGAACTATAACCACAATGTCTGCTTTTCAGCACTTTTAAACTAGTGGGATCCGAGCAAAGAGCTGGCCTTTCAAGACTCCATTTCTCACAGAAGTACGGTAATTTCTTCCTCATGTGTTAATTTAGTTTGGCATTGTATTGCAGCTATTGTACGGCTTTTGTGTTTTACAGTTTGACACAAGAAAAGGAGAAGGGATGGCTCTAATACCTTCAAATTTTGTATGGATGGTGGGTGTCCAAAGCCGACATTTTGCAGCAGCTGGTAAACAACTTTAAGATGGAGAATGTCTTCTTTTTGCTCTCATTGGCCTGGAGAGTCGTAAATGTCAAAGTCTTGTAAGTTACGCACAAACAAAGCCCATTGGTCTAAGTCAGTAAAAGCAGGCTGGACACATGCTCACAATGAGCATCTGAAGATGCTTCCTTATCTCTTTTCCTGGTGGCAGTGCAAGGAAAGAGCGCCAAGAGATGCCTGCATAGTTTCTAGAAGAACTGCATATTTAAAGCTTAGTTGAAAGATATACTTGCATTCAACAGAAACACTCAAGTCTGATGAAAGAGGTATTTTCATCAGGTTTTCCTATAGTTTAAACAATTTGGAATATTAAGATTGGATTGTTAGGTCAGAAAGAAGGGCAGTTACAATGCACAGACCATTTTCTAAGAACAGTTGTACTTATTAAGAATTTAAAAAACAAAACCTCTTTCGTTGCCTTTTACATCGATTCTCATCTTTTTAAACAACTCTCACTCTCTTCTTGTAGGATTATGTCTAATTAGTGGTTATGTTCTAAAATTTCAGTTTCTTCAGAATTATCTGTTCATTTGTTTTCCAGAATGTAAAGTCCTCCTGGCAGTCTTACAATCTATTTTCCTTGAACCTGTAAGAACCTTGTTAACTGTGTGATACGCAGCAAACCAAACATTTGTGTAGTATCTGTCTGCCTGGGAGATAAAGCTGTTCTTGCAATTACAGTCCTGGAAGACATCAATAACCCCCTTTTGCTTTAGGCATTTCAGGAGGATTGCCAAGAGAGAAAGGGGGAGGGGAGAGAGAGAGAGAGAAAGGAGAGAGAGAGAGAGAGAGAGAGAGAGAGAGAGAGAGAGAGGCAGAGAATCAACTCTAGATGTATGGAGAGCCTCAACCTCGATCTCCTGCAGTAAGAAAATGAGTATACTAGGGCAAATACACGTCTTGAAGAAAAGACTGATACAGAAATTAGTACGTTGATTCTTTTTATTCTTCCGCAGTAACATAACAGCAAAAGTTGTGCAGAACAAATTGTTTTTTATTAGGTTTTTAAAATAAAATTACTGCTTGATCTAATGTGACAATCTTGATCTTTCTATTTCAGTTTAATGTATAGCTGTGTATTGAATTTTTGAAAGAGAATAAAAACTCATTAATTCCAGTAAATTCATAGAAAAAAAATGTTAATATATAATAATGTCCTTAGTTTTTCCCAAAGATTATGGATATGATGTGGCCTAATTCCAGATTTTTTTATAGACCACATTTCCAAATGCCACACATCCAGATGGTTAAGCTCAGTTTTAAAGGCTCCTACACATTACTGAGTTTTCTTCAAAAGTTTTCTCCAGAGTCAAGCCAATTTGTAAACTGTCCTCAAAGCCACAGTGACCTACTTTGATGATTGAACTGCTTTGTTTGAGGAGCAAAAGATGTATTTTATGAAAAACGCTTAAAGAACACAATTATTACAACAAAAAGATTATAAAAATGACTCCCCTATTGTGTAGTGAATTATAGTTTTCTGTAATTCTAGAAAGGAAGGTTAGTTCTTTCATTTTTTAAATTGGAATCTTCTGTATGTGTAATGTATGCTGGTGGTAACTGGTGTGGTGTGTCTGTTCCCTACCGTTCCCCTTACTTCACTGCCCAGCAAGTTAACGTGGCTGCTATTTGTGACATAACATATCAGATATCTAACAGAGCCAACACGAACCCTTTGGCACCTCAGCTTACATTTTGGGTAATTTCCTATGGGAGTCCTTAATGAAAGGCTCTAATGAAAGTCCCTTCCTTTCCTTTTCTCCCCTGACGTCCCTTGGATCGCAACGGGGAAGACACTACAATGAATGCAGCTAGTTTCTGCTGACCCGCAGCCAGCTCTTGAATTTGCAATTAGGTTTTCAACATAAGATTGTCAGCATTTTACCAAAATACTTCACTGATGTGTAATGCCACATTTAATACACGCACGTGGCAAAAAATCCATCATGATCTGAGAGATTTCAATCTAATTTCTGGATAGAGTAAGTTGAAGATTTCCCAGACTAGTTTTCTTCTAATAGCATCAAAACTGTCTTGGGAGTGGCCCAGAAAGTGTTCAGTTGTTGCAGGGATCCCATGTCAAAGTTGTCTCAGAGGAGCATAAACTAAATGGCTTCTTAATCTCCTTTCTGATAGGATTCTGGAATCTGGAGACTTGGAAGCCCTGGAAATTTTCAGAAGCAGTCACAAGAATTTCTGCGTTTTTATGTCCAAGGACTGTTGAAAGTGACAGGTGTTCTCGTTCCTAAGCAGACCAGGGACAAAGGAAAGAAGAAAGGAGGGGAGGGAGAGAAAGAAAGGGGATAGAAAAGGGCGGGAGGGAGGAAGGCAGGGAAGCAAGAAGGGAAGGAAGGAGAGATGGCAGGAGTGAGGGACAGCGAGGGAGGAAAAACAATGCAAAAAGAAATTTGTTTAATAGTTAAAGATTAAAATTGTGGCACGTTTACTTTGGAACATTTTCCTTTTCCTTTTTTTTTTTGAGACGGAGTTTCGTTCTTGTTACCCAGGCTGGAGTGCAATGGTGCGATCTCGGCTCACCGCAACCTCCGCCTCCTGGGTTCAGGCAATTCTCCTGCCTCAGCCTCCTGAGTAGCTGGGATTACAGGCACGCGCCACCATGCCCAGCTAATTTTTTGTATTTTTAGTAGAGACGGGGTTTCACCATGTTGACCAGGATGGGTCTCGATCTCTTGACCTCGTGATCCACCCGCCTCGGCCTCCCAAAGCGCTGGGATTACAGGCTTGAGCCACTGTGCCCGGCCTTCTTTCTTTTTCTTTCCTCTTTTTTTTTTTTTTTTTGAGACTGAGTCTCACTCTGTCACGCAGACTGGAGTGCAGTGGCACCATCTTGCCTCACTGCAACCTCCACCTCCTAGGTTCAAACAATTCTCCTGCCTCAGCCTCCCAAGTAGCTGGGACTACAGGCATATGCCACTATGCCCGCCTAATTTTTGTATTTTTGGTGGAGATGTGGTTTCACCATATTGGCCAGGCTGGTCTCGAACTCCTGACCTTGTGATCCACCCACCTCGGCCTCCCAAAGTGCTGGGATTACAGGCGTGAGCCACTGCGCCCAGCCTACTTCTGAACATTTTCTCTTACACACACACGCACAGTGTATACGTGTGTGTGTGTGTGTGTGTGTGAGAGAGAGAGAGAGAGAGAGAGGGTACAGCGTGCTTATACTTTGCTTTTCATTGCTGCACCCAGCTGTCTTCAAATTAGTTGTCCTCTTCTCACAAACATTTCTCCTACTCCTAACCCAACCTATTTACCATTCCATTCCCCACTCCGCCACACTGCTCACTCCCATCCACCAAGATCCCATGCTTACCCTGCTTGTTCTTAGAAGCCTTCCTTGACCACCCTTGCCCAGAGCAGTTTGTCGCCTTTGTCTCCCACTTAAGCTTGGAATTAGCCATTTGGCACGTATCAATGACAGCCTAGTGGTACCTCTTATCTCATCGCATGGATGTGTCTTATCTGTCCAATTAGATTCAGAACTCTTAAGAGCAAGAACTATTATCTTTGGTTTTTTCCTTTGTTATTTTTTTAAAAAACCGTATCTCACATAAGAGCTTACACACAGCGGTAGGTGGTCAATAAACATTTGTTGATTAATTGGTTAATTAAACAGTTGAGAATATAATGTTTTATCAAGACTACCCTGTTGGCGAAATAACTTGTCAGTTTAACAACCTTCATAAGCAAGACGTTTTCTTTGTGAGCTAACCTCCTTTGAGGTTCAAATTTGTCAAACTTCGGGTTGAGGATAATTCTACCTCCGTTCTTGTAGCAATGCCTTACATTTAATAAACAAAATATCCACCGTAGTTGTAGTATCCATTTCAAGTTAGACTTTTTGAGGAGATATGTGTTGGGCTGTGTAAAAAGAAAGAAAAGAATCAGTTACTGGTGTAGCATTATTTGTGATTTCACAGCCCCTTTCAATACATCAAAATTTCTTTCTTCAAATTTCTCCCTAGAAGTGCAATTTTCACAGTCGCCAGAGATCTACTTAAGACTAATTTCCCTGCCTGCTGTATTTTTGCCCAGATTGTACCATTCAGGTAGATTAGAAGTCAGGGGGTATTTTTTGTTGTTTCCTGGACGGAACTGAAAATAGAATTCGTCACAACAAGAAGCAATTACAGAGCACTTAATATTTGTAAAGTGCTTTCCAATCTGGTAGCAGTTTGTCTTTGAAACAGTATTGTTGGTGCGGGCTACTTATCTCCTGAATTTCCAGATGGAGAAAGGGGTAGAGAGGTTAAGTGGCTTGCCTGAAATTTAATAGTATGTTACTTGTGGTGCTCCAGTATTAATGCTTCACAAGGCTTGAGTGAAAAACGTTTTCCGTATTTCCTTTCTAGTTTTGAAGGCAGATATAATCCTACGGCTACCCATTAGCTACTGTTTTGCAGGATAGGAGAAGTATTTGGTTTGTGATTTTTAGTCCTTAAGAGATTAGAAGATACTTTAACAAAATAAAACTAATTTAAAAAGCTTTAGGTAACTTAAGTGCATGAAGAAAATAATTTTGTGGTATAGAGCTGCATACAAAGCTTTAGAGGACCTTTTCACCACAGTAGCCAAGTAGTTGAAACATCAATTTAAAAGCGAACAATAAAGCTCTCCCTCATTGAACAGTTTGCAGGCAGTAAGACTTCTAGTTGACTTGCGATGATCCTGTGCATTGAGAGAAGGGGGTAGGCACCCCCCGCGGGTGGGTGTTGGGTGAAGGGTGTTGGTGCAGGTAGCCTGCTCTCGCTGTCTCGGCTTTCAGACGCCAACTTCCAGACTTGTCACTGCTAAACTTAGCGAGTGGCTTACAGCCTTAGATTCTCTTCTTCTCTAGATTTATCGTAGACATTTCTTTGCCCACCATCAAAGAAAGCCACTGGGTATTCTACTTTGCTCTGAGAAGGCTTCTTGTATTGTAATTGGTTTCTCTCTTGGGAGATGGGGTGGAAAGAGGGGAGGGGTGCTGTTAATGGACCTTTACCCAGGTTAATTACTACCTTTGCTCATAGATGTCCAGTTTTCAGTTTGGAGCAAGATTAAATGCCTCTAATTTAAACATCATCGAGGAAGCATTCTATTAAGGCCCTAAACAATATTTAAGTTCTAGTCTCACAAGCCAAATAGGGCCAAGGAATCTCACCCTTTTCAAGCCCATTTGCCCAGAATAACCTTAACCACACTTTCAGGAAATCCCCTCTTGGGTGGGGCTCTGGAAAAGCTGAATGAATAGTTGCGGTTATTCTTACTTTATATATCAATGCATGATTTTGCAGGAAGAGAGATTTGCATACCCATTAAGGTCTCCACAGCTCAGATTTTCTTGGCCCCGTCTTTGAAACTGGTCATTGAGAAGGTGTTAGTAATCCTGATATACTTTAGGTGGGGAATCAAATCAAGTAAGCTATTATTTTAATCTTTCAAAAGTGACTTCTAGGAAAATAATAAAAGTAAGTTCTCTTATTTGAAGTGATCAGTCTTTTTCATTCTCCGAGAAAATCCTTTTTGGCTACCTAGGCTAATTCTAGTTATCCCTAGCATTTATGTAGAATAAAAGGTAAAACATGTTGTCTTCAGCTATTATGATAGCTACATTCATCTTATGTCTGCATAAAGCCAAGTCTTTAGAAATATGGTCTTTGGTCCCTCTTAATATGTCAATTAAAGTTGAAAAGACTTTATAATCTTAATATTGACTTATTTTTAATGAACCGTAATTCTTCTTCTTTTTTCCCCTACGATATCATTAAAGGGCTATTAAATTAGAGAGGTTTTTTTTGCCCCAGGAGATATAGAGTATATAGAGTCAAATGAAAAACTCATTTTGGAAGTCACACCCCAAAGCAGTCTCACTATGATAATCCAAGAATGTAACCACGGAGCACATTTCTCTTTAATTTCACAGCTGGCATGTTTATTACCTATTTATTTAACTCGGTCCATCTCTGGAAAAACCTTGACCTTAAAGATGTTATCTGTAAAGTGTGCTTTTGGGGACAAAGGGGCAGAGCAAGAAGGTGGAGTAGACGGCCCCACCAATCACCTCCCTGCCCTGCAGGATCACCAAATTCAACGACTATAAAAAGCTCCTTTGTAAGAGTTACCAAAAATCAGGCGATTACTCACAGTACCTGATTTTAACTTCATAACTTTGAAAGAGGCACTGAAGAGAGTAGGAAAGACCCTATTGATTCGTTGACACCACCCGCACCCCATCCCTCTACAGTGACCGCATGGCGTGGAGAAATCTGTGTGCTTGAAAGAAGGAGACTACAGTCATTATGAGGCTATGCATTGAACGGGCTGCTTTCCTGTCACAGTGAAAAGCAAAACCAGTCTGAACTCAGCTGATACCTGACCATGGAGGGGATAATTAAACCAGCCCGTAGCCAGAGAGGAATCATCCACTCCAATGGTTGGAACTAGTGTTCTAGCAAGCCTCGCCACCATGGGCTGAAGTGCTCTGGGGCTCTAATATGTTTGAAAGACAGTCTAGGCTACAAGGACTGCGAATCCTAGCACTGAGCTGGCTTACTGACACACCATCTGGGGAAGCTAAGGGAGTGCTCATACCACCACTCCCCCAACCCCAGGCGAAACAGCTCTCGGCTCCAAAAGAGACCCATTCCTTCCACTTGAGGAGAAGAGAGGGAAAAGGAAAAAGAGTTGTTGGCGCCTGAATAAGAGGACTTTTGTCTTGCATCTTGGATACCAGCTCAGGGAGGATAGGGCATTGGTCAGAGTCGTGAGACCCCCCATGCCAGGCCCTAGCTTCTGGATGACATTTCTAGAACATACCCTGGGCCAGGAGGGAACTCACTGCATTGAAGGGAGGACCCAGTCCTTGCAGGATCCTTCACCTTAAAACAAAAGAGTTGTTGGCGCCTGAATAACCAAAAGCAATACCTAGGTACTAGGCCCTGGGCCTTGGGTGAGACCGTGAGATGTGCTGGCTACCCAGCACATTCACAGCTGTGGTAGCTATGGGGAGAGACTCCTTCTGCTTGAGAAAAGCAGGGGAAAATTAAACAAGACTTTGTCTTGTACCTTAAATACCAGTTCAACTGCAGTCGGGTAGAGCAAAGTGGGCCCTTGGAGTCCCTCATTCCAGGCCTTGGCTCTTGGATGGAATTTTTGGACCTGTGCCAGGCCAGAGGGCGGCCCACTGCTCTGAAGGGTAAGTCCCAGGCCAGGTAGCATTTGCCACAAGCTGGCTGAAAAGCCCTTGAACCTTATGTGAACATTGGTGGTAGCTTGGCAGTACTTCCTGTGGAACTGTGGTGGTGGTGGCCATGGGGTGAGCCTCTTCTACTTGTGGAAAAGCGAGGGAAGAGTGAGAAGGACTGTGACTTGTGGCTTGAAGTCTAGCTCAACGGCAGCACAACAGAGCACCAGGTAGAATTCTAAGGGTTTTGACTTCAGACCCTAGCTCCTGGACAGAATCTCTAGGCCTGCTCAGGACCTGAAGAAACAAGCCTGACTGGCTTCACCACCTGCCGATTGTAGAGCACTAAGGCCTTGAGTGAACACAGGTGGTAGCGGGTAGTGGTAACAGCAGGCCTTGGGTGAGACCCGGTGCAGTCCCAGTGGAGGTGGCCACAGGGATGCTTGTGTCATCCCACCCCAGCTCCAGATGACTCGGTACACAGAGAGAGACTCCTTGTGTTTGGGAGAAAGTAAGGGAAGACTGTAAGTGTCTCTACCTGGTAATCCAGAGAATTTTTCTGAATTATCTAAGACAGTAAGGCAGTAAATCTAATTCTGCAAGAACCGCAGCATTACCGGGCTTAAGGTACCCCCTAATGCAAACACCGCTTAGATCACAACATTCAAGTCCTTTTGAATACTTGGAAAGTCTTCCCAAGAAGGATGGGAACAAACAAGCCCAGAACTCTTCAATGCCCAGACACTGATGAGTATCAACAAACATCAAGACCATCCAGGAAAACATGACCTCACTAAACAAACTAAATAAGGCGCCGGGGGACTATGTGAAAGGTCACATATCTCTTAGAAACAGAGATATGTGACCTTTCAGACAGAGAATTCAAAATAGCTGTGTTGAGCAAATGCAAAGAAATTCAAGATAGTACGGAGAAGGAATTCAGAATTCTATCAGATGAATTCAACAAAGAGATTGAAATGATTAAAAAGGATCAGGCAGAAATTCTGGAGTTGAAATCCAATTGAAACTCTGAAGAATGCATTAGAGTCTCTTAATAGCAGAATTGATCAAGCAGAAGAAAGAATTAGTGAGCCTGAAGACAGTTTATTTAAAAATACAGTCAGAGGAGACAAAAGAAAAAGGAATAAAATAGAATGAAGAACACCTACAAGATATAACTACAAGATATTTACTACAAGTAAATAACCTCAAAAGTGCAATTCGAAGAGTTTTTGGCCATAAAGAGGAAGTAGAGAAAGGGATAGGGGTAGACAGTTTATTCAAAAGGATAATAACAGAGAACTTCCCAAACCTAGAGAAAGACGTCAATGTCCGAGCACAAGAAGGTTATAGATCACAAAGCAGATTTAACTAAAAGAAGCCTACCTTAAGACATTTAATAATGAATCTCCCAAACCTCAAGCATAAGGAAAGGATCCTTAAAGCACCAAGAAAAAATAAACAAATAACATACAATGGAGCTCCAATAGATCTGGCAGCAGACTTTTCAGTGGAAACCTTACAGGCTAGGAGAGAGTGGCATGACATACCTAAAATGCTGAAAGAGAAAAACTTTTACGGTAGAATAGTATATTCAGTGAAAATATCCTTCAAACATGAAGGAGAAATAAGGACATTTTCAGAAAAACAAAAGCAGAGGAATTTAATCAACACCAGACCTGTCCTATGAGAAATG